CTATTAGCTCACATAGGAATTTTTACATTTATAATCTGGAAGAATTTGCACCCATCTGAGCTATCAAATGCATGTGGACTGTTTGAAACCAATCATATACTGGAATAAAACCTCAAAAAGAAAAAACGTTCAAATGCATTTTGCTGGCTATTTATTATTATAGCAAAACCTAGAATAACCCAAAGCTTTGAGAAATGGGTTTTTCACCCAGGGTCACTGAAAGTATTTCTAAAATGTGTGGTTCACTTTCTACAGAAATAAAAGCAATGAATTCTAAAGCAAACTTGTGATGCCATTTTATACACACAGCATGAGCAAACCATTTAAAAATGTTAACACCCGGGCCGGCTGAGTGGCACGGTGGTTAAGAGCTGGCTTGGGACGCCAGAGGGCCCCGGTTCGGATCCCATATATGAGGGCCAGTGACACTGCCCTCTACAGCTAAGATGCTGAACAACAGCTCAACCTGGAGCTGGGCTGCCATGAGTCACCAGCATGGCNCCCTGCATCCCAACCCTGTTCCTCTCCCACAATTCCCCAGGTCAGTAAATGACACTTCCAAACACCCAGTTCTGGGAGTCGTTCTTAACCTTCTTCCTTACAACCCATCACCTCTCCTTCCTAGAGAAACTTGGGTTTTCTCCTAATGTTTCCATTTTCTGTGGTTCCACTAGTTCCTGCCCATTTAACCTCCCAAATACAGCTCCAACCTGTATACCTCTCTGCCTCCCCTGTCACTGCCCCAGTCTACAATCTCCTGTGTGCTTACCCTAGGGATAATGGCTCACCTGGATGAATGCAGTAGGCTCCGTACTATTCTCCCCATGAGACTTTTGCCTCCTCTGCACCTCCTGAGTCCTCTGATTGGTCTTTTCAAGAAAATGCATCAGCCCTTCATCGCCTCCTTCTACTAGGCAGTCTTTTTTGGGGGAGCTGGGGAGCTTTGAAAGTCTAGCGACTGCCTGCCCACTTCTCATAACACAACTTGCTCACCCTTTCTGCCTCTTTCCACCATCTTTCCGTGCCACCATAACGGCACACATGAATGTCCTGGCTGATGCTCTCAACAGCACCAACAATGCCGAAAGGAAAGGCAAACGCCTCTCCTTTTCAGACCATGCTCCAAAGTTACTGTCTGGTTTCTCACTGTGATGATGGTTACACTGACAAATTTGAAATCATGGGCAATCACACAGCTGGGAAAAGTGTTGTGAACCTCAAGGGCAGGTTAAACAAGTGTGGAGCGATCAGCCTCAGATTTCATGTATAACTCGAAGATCTAGAAAAAAGGCAGAATAACTTGCTCCCATCCCTTGTACTGACAACTTCAGCTGGCATCATGGACCAGGAAGAAGCAAGGCAAAAACACACAGGACGGAAAATCCTGAGATTCTTTTCCTACGGATGTAATACATACATGCAAATAAAATGCCTGAACGGGCAAAAAGAAAAAAAAAATGCATCAGCTTATCACTTCCTTAGAGAGGCCTTCCCTGACCACTCTCCTCAAAGTGAATTTGGTCATCCCTATCACAGCACTTTTCTGTTGGAGAGGAAGTATCCATGCTGGAAAGGTAGAGATGGCCTGCAGTCAAATCCCGACTCCACTGCTTAGGAGCTGTGGGGCTTTGGGCAAGTCACTTAATCTGAACCTCAGTTTCCTCATCTGTAAAATGAAGGAAATATCATCTACTTCACAGGATTTCATGAGGATTAAATGAATAAATATATGTAGAGTCCTTACAATATGCCCAGTCCACAGTTTGAATGTTCATGAAACATTAGCAATTAGGACTTTCCTTCATGGCACTTATCATAATTTGCAATTACTGTATTTTGCCATATATAATGTGCACTTTTTTGCCCAAATTTGTGAGGGAAAAATAAGGATGCGCATTATGCATAGGTAGTGCCAAAAACATGGGTGCACATTATACACGGGGGCACATCACACATGGCAAAATACGGTATATATTCATTGTTTTCTTTGTTTAGGCTCTCCCTCCACTACTATACTGCAAGCTCCATAAAAACAGGGCAATATCTGATTTGCTCACACTGCACCCCCAATGAATAACACAGCTCCTAGCCTACAGTACATGTGCAATAATTGTTTAGTAATATGACAGATGGGGGTAGGACAGGTGGGATGCAGCATAGGAAGGTAAAGAACAGCTTGCATGAAGTAGAAGAGAATTGAACTGAGATGCTGGGGGTCTGGGCCCCAGCTTGAGCATGGCCACTAATGTTTTGTGCTCTCTCTGTCTGAGCCTCAGTTACCCCACTTCTTCAGCAAGGGGAAGGACTAGGTGACCTCTCAGGTATCTTATAGTTCTAGTCTCTAACAGAGTAAAGAGGCCTCTTATAGAGAAGTAGTGAGTGATAGGATTAGGGCCAGACTGTGGGCAGCTTTGAAAACCTCTGAGAAGATGATATAAGATATAATAAGAAGGAACTGGGATTTTCTGAGCAGAGACCAACTTGGTCACAACAAAGCAGCTTGCAGGCTGCTGGAGGCAGAGGTGAAAGGTGAAAGGCTGTCAGGTAGCTCCTACAGCAACTCTAGGTGGAGGGGAAGTGCACCCACAAGAAGCACAGTCTTGGTGAAAGACACTAAAGGAAGACAGACCAGCTCTTAGTGACTAATCACCAAGGTAATTTTTCAGTTTCAGGTCTGGGTGCTTGACAGGATGGTGATACTGCTGGATAAACAAGCAAGTTAGAGGAAAGAGAAAAACAACAGTTGGCTTTTGGATACTCTAAACCTGAGGCAACGCTAAACCCAGGGACAGAACACAAGGACTCCTGCTGCCAGTCTTCAGCCTAGCCCACTGAACCCATCTGAGGGCCCTTACCTCCCCAACACGTTACAAATCAGACGTGCCTTCTTCCTCCCTGTCCTTGACCTATGTTACCCGCTGACCCCTCCCTTAATTCCTTCCCTCAGAAAAACCTATCAGACTTTGTGGACCAACTCAAAACTCCCCTCTCTCCATGCAGCCATCCTGTACTACACCTCTTTCTGCTTATTACTACTTCACATATTAGTGCTTGGTTAACATGGCAATTTTAAAAAGCAACTATCTTGGGGCCGGCCAAGTGGCGCGTTGGTTAAGAGTTGGCTTGGGACGCCAGCTCTGAGCAGCAGGGCCCCGGTTCGGATCCCACATGAGGGCCAGTGATGCTGCCCTCTACAGCTAAGATGGTGAACAACAGCTCGACCTGGAGCTGGGCTGCCGTGAGTTGCCAGCAACAGTGCAGGCTGCAGTGGGGCGGCAGTGGGCTGCCGTGAGCTATCGTGAGTGACTGGCAGCCAGCGTGAGTGGCTAGCAGCTTCCGTGAACCGCGGTGAGTGGCTGTCCAATGGCCGGCAAGCGACTGCCTCACCCNTTTGGCTGGCGGGCACTGACAATGGTCATGACATCGGTTGCTATTACAAACCACTGTATGTGCAGAAGTCATAGAAGCCTGGCTAGAACACTGACTCCAGGACATAACCTCAGGGCTGGTTCTCTGACTATAGCTCCTGACATCAGCTCATTTTCTTGTCATCTGCCTCTTTTTCCTAAACGCTGAATGAAGCGGGGGGTGGGGGGGGAAAGTCTAGTTAATTAAATATACTGGTGAAAAATGTTACAATTAATCAAGGACGTCCTGGACAGCTTCCTTTCCCTCCCATTTCCGAAAGTCACCCCGGCACAAGGCTAGAGTGGGGCTGGACGACTGACTCATGGGCAGAGCCTGAGGCAGCACTACGCAAGTACTTTAAGCCACATGTTCAAGCCCAATAAATTAGCTCAGGCTTAAAGAAGTCAAGCTGTACACATGTAAGAATTTTAATAAGCTTGGAAAATGCTACCTAGAGCTTATGCACAAGCTTACTGTACCAATGGGATTCCCTGCCACCAGTCACAGAGTGCTAAGCCCCTGACAAGAGCTTCTGAGCGCATAGGGCAGCAGGGACGGGCAGTCGGCTTGGTCCCAGTTTCCTCGGGAGTTGGAGACTCACAGCAGAAGACTGGCAGGCAGAAGGATGGAGAGCAGAACAGGGCATGCAGTTCGGTGGAGCCAAAGGCATTTACTAGGAAAACATGTTGAAGCTTTCTTTGGTGGAAATCTGGTCCTCACACACCCTTCCAGAACTAGCAAACACTGTAATCAATGTCTGCATTTATCAAATGCCTGTTTGTACCCAGAACTGTGTTAGGTACAATAGAGAGTTATTGAAGCAAACATGGTCTCTGCCTTTTAGATGCTGACACCTAATATAAATAAAAACAGTAAATCTGTCCAGAGGATTACCAAACTAACTGAACAAACATGAAATAATTCAAAGCATTGACTTATATATATGCAATGGAGTAAGAACTGAAGGGTAAGTCATGGGAGATGACTCTCTAAACAGAGTGGGACCCTAAAGGAACAGTTAACTTAGTAAGGCTAACTCTCCACGGGGAGGTCAGCTTTTAAGAAAAGCTTCAAGGGCTGGCTACCGGGCTTGGGGAAAATGAGCCAATCAGAGAAGAGGGTGCAGCCTGGGAGATGATTTAGAGACAGAACTACAACTACAAGGAGAAAGAAAACTTGACAACCGTCCAAGAAAATTACGGGAAATCAGTCAAGCTGGTGTGTGTTTCTCAACTGTTTTTACTCATTCCCCCTTCTGTTAAACATTAAAAACTCACACTCTCTTATTGTGTTATTTAAAATTTGAAAGGAAACTAAATCTCCTAACCAACACCAAATTAAAGCAATAGTGGTTTCAGAATTTGATTTTCCCAATGACACAAACCACCCTCTTCCCCTTGAGCTGAGAACCACCCACTCAGTTGGGTGGTAGCAGCGTCAACAAGGATGGAGTGCTATCATTGGATCCTTAAGGAAGAGAGGATCTGGGCCCCTGGTCCACATGGGACCAGACAACCAGCAGTGTTAGAAAGAATTACAGCTTAAGGTGACAAAAACAGACCATGGCACTAGCAAGAATACGGAGTAATTACCTGATTAAAATTTTTGAAGAAGAACTCTTTGTAGATGGCATCTCTCTCAGTTAATTCCGACCATCCTGCTGCTTTAAGGTCAAGAATAACTTGTTTCCTCTCCTCTGCTGTCAACCAGTGGGCATCTGCTGACTACGAAAAAAACACATTTACTATCTGAAATGTAAAGGTTTAAACTCAAATAATCCTATAGTTCTACTCCTTATGTAGAGATGTAGAAAAAAAGTCTTAAGGACACCAAGTTCTAACCATCTTTGGTTCCTTTGTTCTCAAAATACAAAGTTCTCAAAACATTGACAAAAACAGGCTAGCTCTGTACAACATAAGCTGCCTCCATGGTATGATGTCTCACCACCCCTCAAGGCTGCCTCAACTTCACAACTCAGCTTCTCTTTTTTTTTTTTTTTTTAAAGATTTTTATTGGGGAATTGGGGGAATGGGAACAGTGCTGAGGAATTGGGGGAAGGGGAACAGACAAGTTGCTGTTGTTTTTGTTCTTCAATCTAGTTGTGGAGGATGTTGCTTCACTGGCCCAAGTTGGCACCATCATTGCGCTCTTCCCGGGCGAGGCAGATCAGTCGCCGGCTTCTGGACGGCCGCTCACTGCGGCTGCTGGCCGCTCACGCTGGCTGCTGGCTACACACGGTAGCCCATGGCAACCCACTGCCACAGGGACTGCAGCCTACGCCGTCGCCGGCGACTCATGGCAGCCCAGCTCCAGGTTGAGCTGTTGTTCAGCATCTTAGCTGTGGAGGGCAGTGTCACTGGCCCTCATATGTGGGATCTGAACCGGGGCCCTCTGGCATCCCAAGCGAGTTCTTAACCATCGCGCCACTCGGCTGGCCCCTCAGCTTCTCTTTATTACAGGTATAACTGAGATTAACCGTTAGCACTGGCCATCTTACCAACAACCATTACCAATGGCCAGCATTCCAGGACTTAGGAAAATGAGGTAAACATACCCACCCAAGAAAACCCTGGAAGTCCACTGGCAGGACCAGGATTAGAACTCAGGGCTCTAAACTCCTGGTCTGCTGCTCGTTATGTGGTCCCACACCGCCTTAGTGGCCTTCACTGCTTACTCACATGCGTATTAACTACCTGGGTTCACTATCCCCAGATCTGACGAAAACCAACCCTACACAGGAATAAACAAATGCATATTTACACAGGATTTTGTATAATAACTTCTGGGGGCCCACAGACCCTCTGGACTACAGGTATAAAGCCCTTCTTCGCCTTAGTGGAGTGAGATCACCAGTAAGACAAACTCCCTCCAGTGTGGCCAGAGCACTGCCCCATCCGAAGCACTTGTGCGCATTGTCCACCTTGCTCCTACACACCTGGTGATGAAATTCACAGACCTGGACTTCTGTTGGTGAACAGGCCCACACGTCTCATACTATTTGTTTTCTAACTAAAAAACTATACATCAGGCCAGAAAAAGATGAGAAGGGCACTCCAGTAGAAATCAGAAGAGCTTTAGTCTCATTCCTGCATAAGTGCCAACCAATACCTCCTATCTTGCCTATTTGCAGGGTTATTGCAGGCTCAGGTGAGAGAGGGACTGTCACCCAGACAGGCTGGGTTCCTCATCACAGGGCAACTAGGAGCCGAGCTGGACCCTCCATCATGAAACTGCAAGTCATTCCCCCTTCAGAAACCCTAAAACCTCTCACCACTGACACTCGCGTAATTAAGAGAGCAAAGCCAGTGAACTTATTTAAGAAAACGAATTCTATGAAGAATAAAAAAGGGTGCAAATGAACCAATTTTCTAGATTCTCTTCCTTGCTAGGTCAGCTACCCTTCTCCACAACAAAAAAACGAAACTATCTCTTAATTAGATAAAAACACTTACAGGCTTGTTATCAAAAAACATTTACTATGAAGAATCAACATATCTATTCAAGCATTTTAAAGTGACAGTTTCTAAACCTTTTCACACAAAGACCCTCTACCGGAAATAATTTAAAATTCTTATTAAACACTTAAATATTTTAAGTCAACTCGGAATATTTTGGAAAAAAAATGGAATTCTCAGTGTCCACACTGAGCAGCCGCAAAGTAAACTATCAACCACGTTGCAGGTAACGCAGCGCGATCTCTGAGCTGTTTTGTTGTCTGCCATCCACATCCCCAGTGAGGTCAATAGTTTGCACTCTGTCATCAGCACAAATGTCTCCATGCCCAGGGCTATGAAATTGAACCACTTCATCTACATAACACCGATGCCCCCCTTGGGGACATACCTTCTGCAGAACCCTTTATGGTGGGCTTAATTTTTTTTCTAGGGGAGTTGGGGGAGGGACAAGGAAAAGCATAGGATTTGAAGAGCACAAACTTGATTTAAGTCCTAGCTTTGTTGCTTTTAGCTGTGGGATGCTGAACAAATCACTTAGCCTCTCTGAATACTGGTATTCACATGTCTATAGTAGGAATATTACAATATCTACCTGCTGAGAGATTTTCCAAAGGCTTAAAGCGATCTTGAATGTGAAGGCACCCAACACAGGCCCTGGAATGTGGCAGCCACTCAAATCGCGTCTGTTTATTCATTCTTCCGGGAACACACTAATTTTACTTCATCACCAGCACCTTAGTTTGAGGTATGCCTGGAGACATGCCTAGGTGGCAGTCAGCACTCAACTTGTGTTCTCACCTTAACGGCCACGAAGCAGGGTGTTTATCTTCCTCCATCCCCAAGATATTTTTAACTTCTTGTATTTAAATTTTTCGAACTGCCAAATGGGCTCTATCTAACTAAGGAAGTTCGGAAAATGAAATTATGAGTTTAATGCAACATTTTCCCACTAGGTGGTGCTGCACGTTAAAACTTTCTCTCAAGTTAATTTACACCCAATACATTAGATTCTAGGAAACTAGAAATAAGCAGGAAAATTGAACGACGCCCCTCGGAAGAGGAAAGAAGAATCGATGTGTCACCAAAAAAAAATAATTTATTAACAATTCTTCCAAAAAATAACACCAAAACAAATGAGTTCATTTAACATTCGGTCACCCCGTTTACAGCGAGCGCGCTGTGACGGAGTCCCTGCTCCCACCGAGCTCACAACCTAGAGGACCGAACAGCACCTTTAGTCACTTCAAGTGACCCTAACCATCAAATATTTTTACAACTATTTTCATATTTTTTAAAAACAAAAGTCATTCTTGTTTGTTTTCAGGTTGGCAATTTCGTAGACTACCACAGGATGTTTAAGCCAAGAGAAAACTGCCGGGGCCACCCCTGTCTGACCAGCGCACCGGGCAGGTGCCCCGTGCCCAAACGTGGCTCCCCCAGGTCCGTGCCCGAAAGCCGGGCCCACCTTGGGGCCTGTCCGGGTCCCTCCCACCTCTCAGCCGACGCCACGGGGCCTCGCCCTCCTCCCGCACCGCGGGCCCACGGCACTCACCATGGCCGCGAGGCCCGGGGTACTGCCGCGCAGCGCCGCCAGCAAGCGCCGCGTCGCCCCCCGCACCCTCAGAGCCGCCGCCATGGCCGCCGGCCGCGGGCTGCCCAGCGCACTGCCTGCCCGCCGCCCACAAGCGCGGCCGCCTGTCTGCTGACAGCTCCCAGCTGCGGGCCAGGCCGCGCCACACAGCACGGCCCCGCCGCGCAGGCCCAGGTGCGGCCCGGCCCCGGAAGGTCCCCAGGAGCGCACTGCCAACTCCGCTGGCAGCGGGCGGACGCGGCGCGCCAGGCCCCCGCAGGCCCCCGCGCTCTCGGATCCCGCTGTGCGGCCCGACCGCGTCTTCCCTGCCCGGGTGCCGGGATTCGCGCCGGTGCGGGGGAGGCGGGTGGCTGGCGCGGCGCTGGGCCTAGGCTTGACCTCCGGTTCTGCTCCTCGACGACCGGCTTCGGGTCGCCGCACACTCGCGAACGGTCTGACCGTGTTGGGTTTCCTCCTGGGCGGTGAGGCGAACAGCAGGCGCCGGCGGGAGGTGTCCGGGCTGGGGCAGAAGAGACCAGCTGCGGGTGGGTGCTCGCGAGGGGCAGTGAACCATAGGGATTCAGGGCAGGGAGCTAGGTTCGAATTTAAGCTCTGCTTTGTAGTTCCTTATTTGTCAAGGCTCTGACAAGCTGACTCATCTGTATTTGCCTAGATAAAATAATCTAGAAAACCAGTTTATAGTGCTGTCTAAACAGTCCCGCACGCGAAACACGTAGGCATTCTGGAGATATTAGACATATTGACAGATTTACAATAGATTTTCTCCATTTTTTTTTTGGAGAAGTGCAGTATTTCTTTTATATGTGTGTATATTTATTCATGTTTTATTCTCATCATTTTTTTGCCTTTTCTCTTTTTTGAGAGTAATTCACGTAATAAAATTCACCCTTTCAAGTGTGCAATGCAGTGGTTTGTAGTGTATTCGCTTGTATCTTTATTTTACTAAGTATGTAAATGAAGAATATAAGGAATTTTGCAGATATAGCAATACACTCGAGAATTTGTTTTTAAAGGGTGAGTCCATTTAAATTCAACTTAGCAGTTAGTTTTCCCATATGGACTTGTTAAAAATAAAGCCTTTTGCCTCAAAAATAGCCTAAAATTCAGCCTTACGGCCCAACCCACCTTCTTGACTTTTGCCCACTCACTTCATGAAAACTCAGGGGAGGCATCTCGCTGGAGACCCTAACCAAAAGGCACTGGTCTCAAGGCATTTATCTAAAACACTCTGGTTTCTTTGCATGATGCCTCAGGTGGGGAGAAACTAGGAGTGGAATTAAAAGTTGTATTTCCCATATTTACCTTGGGTATTTATGATGATAAAAAGTGCTCTACAAACTTGCTCATTAAAATAACTGAAATATGAACTGATAGGTGTGAAGTAACAAGTTAGAGGCCTGTGATATCATGATTTATAATATATATTTGGTCTTCCCTAAGTGTTGAGAATGCTAAAGGCATCTTTATTATGAGTTTTTGAAAAGCACCTAAGGATGACGGTGGGTAGCCATCGAGTCAACCACGTGATTAGAGGGTTGGAACTTTCAGTCTCGCCCCCTGACCTCTGCAGAGGGAAGAGGGGCTGGAGGTTGAATCAATTGCCAGTAACTTAGTCAATCATGACTATGTAATGAAGCCTCCATAAAAACCCCAAGGACAGACGGCTCATCACCTTATCTGGAGTTTCCACGCTAGGGAACCAGAACGCGTCCGTGTGCCACCATATGGGGCCCCAAAGTCCATGAGGACAGAAGCTCCACTGTTCGGGACCTCACCCTATCTGTCTCTTCATTTGGCTGTTGATTCGTATCCTTTAATAATCATTTGTAATAAGCTTTCCTGAACTCCGTAATCCGTTCTAGGAAACTAATTGAACCCAACACGGGGGTCATGAGAACCTCTGATTATATAGCCAGTCTGTCAGAAGAACAGGTAACAACCTGGGCTTGTGATGGGAATCTGAAGTGTGTGTGGTAGGGAGGAGGGGGGAAGCCTTGTAGTACTGAGCCCATAACCTGAGCCTGGTGCTATCTCTGGATAAAGTGTCAGAATTGAGTTGAATTCTTGGATACCTTGCTGGTGTGAGTGAATTGTTTCTTGGTGAGGGAAACCCCAGCATCACTATGTCAGAAATCACGTCTGGGAACCCCTTCCAAGTCCCCTCCTCATTTTCAGTAAGTTTACTTTATAATCATTTTCCTTTTTAAAAGCATACTGTGTGAGGCCGGCNCTACCACTGCCAGGAGCACATGGAGCACAGTGCGCAGCCCCAAACTCCTGCCAAGGGCAGGGTTGCAGAAGGGAGGCGTGGTCTTCCCAAGCTGTGCACGTGCACATGGAAATGCCTGCTCCCAACAGAAGATTTAGGCCCACAGGGCTATAGTGGACATCCTCACATATCCATTTTGCATGCATGCAGGACTATATCTAGAAGATAAATTTCTAGGTTGGGACAATGGATCTGTGAATTTTAAAAGTTGACAGACGTGGTGCAATTGCCCTCCAAAAAGATTATATGAAACGACACTCCCACCGCTTTATTCTCCGTCTCCACATAACAGCCGCACTTCCCTCCTCACCAGCTTAGACTCCATGGTCCCATGTTTTTCTCTCTCTCTTGCCCCTCGGTTCCTGCATTGCACTCATTTAGCAAAAGTTCTGCCCTTGTTAAGTCCAACTCTGCACCTACTCCAAGCCTGTGCCCAACAGCTGAACGTGGCTGGACAAAACACACAAAATCTTCACTTTAAATGTGCGACCACACAATTCTAGTAATACTGAGGACTACCCAGCAATTGCCCACATTCCCGTTAGTTCAGTGTCACAGTCCAGTGACTATTCCACTCCTTTCTCCTGTCTTCCCAGATCTCCAACACCCCTCCCTCTCACCCCTGCTCATTCTCAATGGATGACCTCACCAAAAAAGTAGGAACAATCAGAAGAGAATTATCTCTTCTCCCAGGACAAATGTAGCAACCTGCCGGCATCTACACACATACACTCTGCCTTCTTTCTTATTCCAATGCACGTACCAGGCCCACCTGCCCATTCCTTCCTGTCCTCCCTTGCTGACTGAGGACTGTGCTCTCACAATTATCCCCACTGGCACTCTCAAACTGGTATCCAGCCTGCACTCCAACATCATCTATCCAACTGCTGACCCAATAGCCACTTGAATGTCTAATAAGTATATCAAACCTGACATGTACAAGACAGGATTCTTACTTAATTCCCTCCCCTGCCCTTCACGCTGTCTTCCCCAGACCAGTAAATGTCACCAATGGTACCACCATTCATCCTATAGCTTGAATTAAAACCTTGGGATCACCCTTGGCCCTCCCCGTCACATCCACTCTAACAGCAAGTCTTGATTATCCTGTCTTCAAAATACATGACGAATCCCACATGTCTGTCCACTCCACTGCTATCTCCATAGTCTCCCATCATCCCTTGCCTAGCCTACTGCATCGGCAACCCGTACAGTCTGTCTGCTTCCACGCTTGCCCTCCTACTGTCTATTCTCGGCAGAACAAGCCAGAGTGGTCTTTTTAGACCATAAACCAAATCATGGAACTGCTCTGCTTGAAATGCTCCAATAGCTTTCCTTCACGGAATAAAATCCAAACTCCTCATCATGTGGACAAGGCTCCAGGGCTTGCTTCAGCCTCATCTCCTACCAGTCTCGTCTCCTTTCTGGCCACTCCAGAAGAGTGGCTTTCTGGCTCTTCCTCGATCACGCTAAGATCACTCCTGCTTCAGGAAGTTTGTAGTTGCTCTTCTCTCCATCTGCACTGCTCTTCCTTGGGTTTTCACATGTTGAGCTCCTTCACATTATTCGGGCCACAGATGTCCCCCCCACCCAGAGGGGTCTTTTCAGACCAGTCCATCTTTCTCACCCCTCCATCACTCTCCATTCCAATATCCTACTTTACTCTTCTTCTTGGCACTTATCACTACCTGCAATCATGCTATCTATTCATTTATGTATTGTCTATCTTCCCCAACTAGAATGGGAGCTACATACATGAGCTTATAGCCTGGCACAGAGAAAATGCTTAATAAATATTTGTTGAGTTAGTGAATGCTACTTTTACAATAAAAGTTAAACTAATTTTTAAAAAATTTAACTGCATGTACCACTGCCACATTGTGAACAAACTATACCTATGAGGAAAGAACAGATCAGAATAGAAAAAACGATGGAAGTATTTACAATGGGAATTTTTTATTTACACCAACCTACTGTAATGTTTTATGTTATTGTTTTATAATTTTAAAAAATAGACTTTGTCCTAAATAAAAGATAAGTAAGGCTCTGTCAGTGCCATAGGATCACCACTTTAAGCATCAATTGTGAGAAACAGAAAAGCAGCCCTGACACCTGAGTGCTGACATAGACCTTGGTGTTGCTAGGAGCTGGCCTGGCACTCATACCTAAGCCTTGGTGTTGAACATAAACATCAATGTTAGACAATGCTGTTCTGTGGGGTTTGCACCCACCTCTCCTGGAGGCCACCAGGACCCAGCACACCCCCTCGGAGAAAGCTGCAGGAGGTCCAGATGGGGCCTTGGGCCAATGTCATCACCAACCTTTACCTTTACCTGATCAACTCCTGTGCTGCGTTTAAGGTGACCAGGTGGCCTCTAGGAAATTAACACAAAAATAGTACTAATCTGTAGTGATATCTGAATGCAGACAAACCATGAACAAAATACCAAACACCCCCTCTCCCGGATAATGAGTGATGTATTGCTTTTTACCAATTTCCGCTTTAGTCTGTTCTCCCTATAGGTAAGATTTATTAAAATACTGAATTATATGTACACCTGAAACTAATATAACTATTATAGTATTGTATACCAGCTATGCTTAAATAAAATCTTTTTTAAAAAAAGGACTTCTTCGGCCGGCCGAGTGGTGCATTGGTTAGGAGTTAGCTTGGGACACCAGCTCTGAGCAGCAGGGCCCTGGTTTGGATCCCACATATGAGGGCCAGTGATGCTGCGCTCTCTGCACAGCTCAACCTAGAACTGGGCTGCGTGAGTCACCGGCAACGGCGTAGGCTGCAGTGGGGCTGGCTGGCAGCTGGCGTGAGTTTTTGTGAGCTGCCATGAGCCGCCATGAGTGGCTATCCAATGGCCAGCGACCGATCTGCCTCACCCGGGAAGAGCGCAATGATAATACCAACATGGGCCAGTGAAGTGACGTCCTCCACAACTAGACTGAAGAACAAAAGG